CTGCCCTTAGTTGGGGAAAGGATTTCAGTATTTCAAGCATAATTATTGGTAAAACAAATTATTTTTAAGCCTTTTCATTCATTTTTAAATTAATAACATTGCAATGATTATTGAAGCAATATGTCCAGTGAGTTAAAAATTCTGATAATAATATTATAATAGCAAAATGATTTTATTTAAAAAAATATGGTGCTAACAACAGCAAATTACATTAATATGCACCAAAACATGAGAATACTGCTGTTAGCAAATTAAATGAATAAATCAAGTGTCTCAATAAGGCCAATTCTTATTTGGAACCTTGAATATACACCACTCATTTTTCCTCTAATACTTTAAGAGATGCATTTAAGAAGTTTGTATCTATTAAAACCAGTGTTTGGCTTAAAGAAAATGACAAATCAACTCTCTCATTAGATGTAAAAGAACATCCTGTTTTTAAAAAGACTAAATTTATCAACTATCTTAATCTTCAATACAGAATAAAACACATAAACTGCAATGATTTCAAGGTGGTAGGGTCTATATCATATTCAGCCTCACAAACAAAACTACTTGTAATGTTAAGCATTTACTTATTTGAAAATAGTTTCCTTCCTCTAATGTTCCTGCCCCACCTTCTTCCACAAAGCACATAAGTTTTGCTAATTAAAATGAAACAAAACAAAAACCTGGCTAGGAAAATTTGTGCAGAAGTTAGATCAACCCAATTGTGAAGGTCTTGAAAACTCAAGTCCACTAAGGTATCATCATTGTGTTAAGTCATGGCTAGAAGGAGTTATGCTTGTAAGAGATGTCAGAGAAACGTGAATGAAAGTCTATGGAACCTATATACATATTAGTATTGTTTAGGACTCTACACAAATATAAACAATCTTGGTTAATTAAAAAAGTAGATGCTGGGGTAGCTGAATATCTAAGATCTCTTTGTAATTAGTATCAGTTTAGGAATAAGAAATGAAGTTAAAATATATACACTGTCAGTACACTTGATCTTTAGTTATGAGAACTCTACTTTAGGAAAAATTGACAGAAGGATGGTTACTTACTCCAACAGCAATTCTATTCCATTCTATTTCTAAAATATCCTTCTACTTTGTCCATTTCTTTCATACATCCTCGACCATAAACATGAGCCAAGTCCTGCTCATTACTCAAGGGACTGATTTCTCAACAGATTTCATTTACACTCTTGTCTGCTCCCGTCCATTTTGCCAGAGCAGTCAGAGTGATTGCTGAAAAATCTAAAAATTATGTCATAATTTCCCATTAAAATTCTCCATTGAAGTCTAATTACATAAAAAATGATACCAAAATTTTTGCCATTATTTCCAAATACTGTAAATATGAAAGTTTACCTACAGAATTGATAATGTAAATTTGTTAATTTTAGAGAAATATAAGATCATTTTTATTTCATTCATTTATTCAAGACATGCTGAAGTAACAGCAGACACAAGCTTCTTAGTGATTTACAGCCACACATTTTAGCTTCTCATTGAAATCACATGCTTTTTATAAGTTGAATGCAAGTCTTTCATTTTCTTATTATTTCATTTGTTTCATTTTTTCTTTCATTTCTTTATTTTATTTCATTTCTTTTATTTTCATTTTCTTTTTCTTTTTATTCTGGGATAAGGCTTAGGAGACATTTTCATCTGTGGATGTCATGGCATAGGATACAAATAGCATTAAAATTTACTATTAGAAACCTCCTGAATGCTATTAAATTTAAAAATAATATTTCTTAGATATACTCTTATCTTTAAAATACATAATTTGAAGTGCCCTTAACTACAGCTGTCAGTTGGTATCCCTGGGGGATTGCTTCCAGAACCTCTGTGGTTACCAAAATCTGCAGATGCTCAAGTTGTTTATATAAAATGGTGTAGGATTTACATATAACCTACACACATCCCCCCATAAACTTTAAACCATTTCTAAATTACTTATAGCACCTAATGCAACATAAATGCTATGTAAATAGTGTTATACTTTATTGTGTTTTAGTTGTATCATAATTTTATTTTTGTATTGTTGGTTTTTATTTTTATTTTTTCCAATGCAGTATTTTCAATGGTTGGTTGAATCCATGGATGTGGAAGGCCAACAGCACTTCTCTTTTATTCAGAAATCAGAAAGCTAAAAATCTAACAAAGGATGACTATTACACCCCATGAGGGTAGAGTAATGAATCAATCATGATGCAAATTGTAAATCAATCACACTAATATTATCTAAAATTATGAAATAATAAAAATAGAAATAAATACTCTAATAGTTTCTTTCAACTGGTAGCCACTGTTCCATAGCATTGGGGGATTCTAGGGGAAAGACGGTAAGCCTAATTTCCTAGGACATGAAAATAAATTAAACCTTGTTATTGAAATAAACATCGAGAAGCTCAATTTAGAAAAATTTGTTTTATTATTCTTTTCACTATAAGATGTACAGCGTATTAATGCAACAAGTCCAAATAAGATTTGTAAAGTATTTCAACAGCATCATTTTAGTTTTCTTCAATCTCCTTACTTGGTATATGATTCATGTCATACAGATATTCATTCAAAAGGGTGAAAATGTTAATCTCTCCATAAGTTTTTCAGTAAGCTACAAGGATGTCCTTTGATGATTGAATGAAATGACACAGAAAAAGGCCCAACTCAGTGTAACGTGCTCTCATTAAAATGCATAGATTTTTTTCCTAGTAAAGGTTTTGCCACTGGCTAAGCACAAGAGAAGGCACTTTTTTTAATGCACTCTGATGGATATTTTCTTACTGGAAATTTTTTTTAAAGATCACATTCTGGTGAATCACTGTGTAGAAAGTGTTATTTCTTTTTCATAGTCTGGATTTTGTCCAGAAAATACTACTTCTCTATGTTTATACTGAAGACTCAAAATTGTTACATTGGATATTCACCTGCAATGTGTTGTGATGAGTATATTAACATTTATATAGAAAAGATTATTTTTACCCTGAATACACATTATTTTTGTTTTTTATACTGCTAACATCCGGGATAGGTGCATTATAAACTCAGAATATAGATGAATGCCAAGTTGTATATCCTATGGGATACTAAATGTCCATTGAATTATAGATATGTGGTGTCTAGATAAATTCTTAGTTATCAAATGAATACATTTTTGACAATAAATTATATGATTTGATGTAAACTGTATATATGATGGGTGAATTTTAAAGACCAAATAGAGAAAAGTGAATTAGGAATGCTCTCAGGAAAGAGTGATGGGTGTGAATTCAGTAAATTTTGCATCATATAAACATTTCTTACTTTATCAAGGGGGTAGGTGCCAGTAGGATTTGAAATAAAGACATAGAACTGGGAAATAAAGAAATAAGACAGAATTGCAAATAAAGGCAAAAGTAGAGACATGACATTCTCTGTTTATATTAGCTGCTTATCTAAAAATATCTTCACATAATTAATTGAATTAATATTTGTTTATGAAAAACTTATGTCTTAGACCATTGGATTTTAGCAACAAGTAAAATGCCATCCTTTATTCAAGAGGTATACACTGTAATTCAAGAGGTACAGAAAAGTAAACTGGTAATTTTTCTAGAGTGTAATAAATGACTATGCCTATCCAGAGTGTTATGGGGTGACATAAGAAACAACCCTAACCTTTTTGGAAAAGGCATCAAATAGGTGATTGCTGAAAGCCAAGTAAGAGTTAGCTCACGGAGGAACTGGGGAAGAATTTTCAGGCCGTGCATGTGCAGTGTATAAAAGATGAGAGTCAGGAGAGATTGTACGTAAAGTATAAATGGGAGAGTGGTGAGCAAAATGGCTAGATCATGGGCAGCTATGCTTACATGCTTGCTTGTTTGAAGGCAATTGGCAAACAGACAAGATGTATGCTACATGAAGTTTACTCTTGTAGCTTCGTAATGCATAGATGAGCTGGCACAGAACAAGGTCCCTGGAGATACAAACCTCAGGGTATTACTGAAATAGTTTTATTTTATATTTAAAAATATAGTTCATAGGAATAAAGGAAACTGAAAAGAAAAAATATAAAGAGACCAAAGAAAATAATACCTGGCTCTCCATGTTTGTTTTTTAGCTTCACTTTTAATATTTGAATATATTCCAGCTTGAGGACTACTGTTTCTGTTTGGGGTTTAAACTCCGCTTATGTTTTGTAATCTATTTGAGGAATTGACACTGGAGTGGTACAGTCCCTCCAAGTTGAAATTTCCTAAATCTCCTAGAGGTAGGACTAACTTACAAAACTAGAACCAAGGAAGGTTTTCCATAAAGAAAAAAAATATATCAGTATAGCCTGTTGTTTAGTAGCATTGCATTGTCCATCTAGAATTATTTGTGTTTACTGTAAGATGATGAAAATTTGTAATAATATTCTAATTTAACCATATCGGGTGCCTTTAACAACCACTGTTTCAGGTATGGTGAAAGAAGAAATACAATATAAAAAAGAATGTTAAATTAATGTTTTGTAGTCATGAATTACTTTTGAAATATCAACATAAATGTATGAATCTTTTTGTGTCATACTTTTCTTATCACTGCCTATGGAAAGGCTTAGAAACAGTGAAAGAAACCTCTTCTATGAAGCATCCAATGTGAAAAATCACTAATACCATTAAGATTGTGGTCTTGAAACACCATTTTTCACTACAAAGCAAACAGAATAACAGGGTTCCTCATAGAAACAATTTATATCATGTATGGGGAAGAACATGGGCAAGATGAGTATGGATCATTTTGATTACCAGTTAACAAAGGAATAAAATAGCTAGTAGGGTCTCATTAAGAAAACTCAGGAGAAAACTTGAATTGATGTTCACTGACAAAAAAAAATGGAAATTTTAGTCATACAAAACACATACATGGAAAACACCAAAATATATCCACTATCCTAAATCCATAAGTTCATAACTGTACTTAAGATATAAGTTGTCAAATATAGTGTGTTGTCAGGTGGCAAACAAAGGAATGGAACTGAATACTTGAATTTCATTAGAGGAGTGGTGGACTCTGAGGATCTCCCTCTAAATATTTCCCATGAGATGTTGCAGCAAAGCAAAATTTCGAAAGTTATCAGAAAGAATTTGGTCAAAAAGTGCTTAGAGCTCTTCACCGAACTGGCAGAAGATAAAGAGAACTACAAAAAGTTTTATGAGCAATTCTCTAAAAACATAAAGCTTGGAATACACCGGAAGAAGCTATCAGAGCTATTACGATACTACACATCTGCTTCTGGTGATGAGATGGTTTCTCTCAAGGACTATTGCACCAGAATGAAGGAAAACCAGAAACATATCTATTATATCACAGGTGAGACCAAGGACCAGGTATCTAACTCAGCCTTCGTGGAACGTCTTCAGAAGCATGGCTTAGAAGTGATCTATATGATAGAGCCAATTGATGAGTACTGTGTCCAACAGCTGAAGGAATTTGAGGGGAAAACTTTAGTGTCAGTCACCAAAGAAGGCTTAGAACTTCCAGAAGATGAAGAAGAGAAAAAGAAACAGGAAGAGAAGAAAACAAAGACAAAATTAAGAACAAAACAAAGAAGAAAACTAAAGAACTACTTTTAGTTCTTTGAGGAATCTCCATGTTTTCCATAGAGGTTATACTAATTTACATTCCCACCAACACTGTACAAGTCTTCCTCTTTACTGTATCTGCACTAAAATCTATTGTTTTTAAACAATATTTTATAAGCATTCATAGTACTAAAGCCAATGTATTAATGTGTACATTACACATTATTTATTTTATCTTGCTTTTATTACATGAACTAATCTGTATTTATCCTGCATTTATTACATGAACTAATCTGTACAACAGCCACAGGTCTATAAAGTAAAATTTCTCATTTTATAAGTATTCTTTTATAATAAATGAAGAAAAAAGGATACAATTATAAGAAATAGTTTTAGTTATAGTTTTGTAATTAAAAACTAACAAATTAATGAATCTAGCCATTGAATATCATCAGCTCTCCTATCACAAAAAGGGATATAATGACCATTATGTGGCTTCTGTTATAAGAAAACAATACGACATATAGTCTTGGGAAAACATCATACATGATTATGATTGAGTCCCTTGTCAAGCAAAACTTAGCTGATTCTAGATTTTATAGTTAAATATAAAGGATAGACAATACCTAAACAATGTTGAGAAAGAACAAATTTGAAGGATTTATATACTACCTGATTTTAGACTTACTGCAAAGCATCTAGACAGCGTGGTGTTTGTGTAATAATAGACATAAAGATCAATGGCATGGAAACAGAGACCAGAAACAGACTTCTTACATATACTTGGGTAATGGATTTTTTTACAAAGTTGCTTAAGAATGCCAATGTAGACAGGGTAATCTTTGTGAAAAATAGTACTAGGACAACTGGACAGAATTTTGGGGAAAAATATAACTTCAATTTGTGCATAAACATCCAACTAACAACATCCAATTAATACAAATATAACACAGACCCTCATTCAGAAGCTAAAATTATAAAATAAAGAAGACATAGAAGAAATAGACAGAAATGTAGACAAATATAGCACAGATTATTTTGAAGATGGAAACACAGGAAAAAAATCTTTGTGACCTTGAAGTAGACAAATTTTTTCTAGAAAGGATATAAAAGCATTAATCACACAGAATATATGATGTAGGTTATCAAATATTATTACCCTATAAGATACCTTTCATAATAAAAATGAAAAGTAAGGCTTGGATGGAAAGAAAAATGGTTGGCATACATGAGATCTTGGGTATACCCATTGTAAGACCTGTTTAACATCATGAGAATCAACAAGACAATACAAAATGGGCTAAAATTTGAACACAAACTACCAAAAAGAAGTTATATGAATATGCCATAATCACATGAAATGACACTCAACATTAAGTGGGAAAGGCAAATCAAACCACAATTAAATATCACTACACAGCAACTAGAACAGCTAATATTAAAGACTTACTAAGTATTGGTGAAGATGTGGAATAACTTAATCTCTCATACACTGTTAGTTAGGGTATAAAATAGTTTGGAAGTTTTATATAAATTTAAGTATACACTTTTTACATAGTGAAGTAATTCCAGCCCCAAGTAGTTAACCAACAGAGTGACTTGTACACAAATGTTCATAGTAGTTTTACTTTTTAAAAGCCCAAAACTAGAAATAAAACAAATATCCATCAAAAAATGAATGAATAAACATTGTGATATATACATAGAAATACTACTTTGTAACAAAAAAGAATGAGCTGATGATAAACACAACAGCAAAGATGAATCTCTTATGCAGCATGTTGAGTGAAAAAAAGCCAGAGACAAAAGAGTATCAACTATGTTATGTTATGCAGCATGTTGAGTGAAAAAAAGCCAGAGACAAAAGAGTATCAACTATGTTATGTTATTTGTATAAAATTTAAAAAAAGGCAAAACTAATCTTTAATTAGAAAAAGGAGAGGAGTGTTTGCTTGAAGCTGAAGAATGAGATGTGGAGGAATGGGATGAGGATAATTGGAAAGAAAACATAAGATTATAGAAATATTTCATAATCATTATTTATAAGGTTATAATTTTTTATAATTTATCAAAGTATACACCTAAATTGAGCATATTTTTATAGATAAATTATACCTCAATAATATTATCTAAAAAATTACAAATACTAGGTAGTAAAATGGTTTTTTTGTGTGTGGCTGTACTGAGGTACAGAATATTAAGGCCTGCTTGGGGTCATATAAATTTATGAGGCTCAAGGTATGCATGCACCCATTCCCTGGAGAAGCCGGCCACTTCTTGAGGGAATGGGAATTGATAGCTCTGAGTTATGTGCCTGGGAATATTTATCCTAGGCTCATGCCCAGAACTGTTATATGAGACCAGTCACTACTGGTTATATGAGACCAGTCACAGACCAATTCCTGGCCAGATCTGGGACCTCACATGACCAGAGCATATGCCTTTTTGGCACCAAAGCCTTCGTTTGTTCCGACCCCTATATAAATAGCATAGAAAATCCGGGGAAGGGGGGGACATTTTTTTCTATCCAACCTCTTGGCATGCAGCTGCCTGCCTGCTTGATATCCCTGCATGTTGCTCCCTTCACCACTGCCTGAGACTTGCCCGTGATGGTAAATTCTGGTGCTGGGACTTCCCGTGATGGTTAATTCCAGTGATGATAATGGGATCCTAGTGGTATGATTATTCCTTTATGTTCTTCTCCTGCTGTGCTATGTAAATAGGTCTCCTTTATTTTCCCTTTTTCTCTTCCCCCTTAATAAATGTAAGTAAAACTGGTGTGGCTTGTGGTGGTGTGTCCTGCGGATCAAGCTCAAGTTGCCAAAAAAGTCTGTGCACAGCGATTGATAAAATTAATTATCAATTCAGTGGTACAATCTTACAAACCATAAAATGTTTGTTTTGCTGTGTTTGGCATATGTGTACACATTAATGCATTGGCTTTAATACTATGAATGCTTATAAAATATTGTTTAAAAACAATAGATTTTGGTGCAGATACAGTAAAGAGGAAGGCTTGTACAGTGTTGGTAGGAATGTAAATTAGTATAACCTCTATGGAAAACATGGAGATTCCTCAAAGAACTAAAAGTAGACCTACCATTTGATTCAGCAATCCCCCTAGTGGGTATATAGCCAAAGGAAAAGAGGTCATTCTATCAAAAAGACTTCTACAGCCAAATACATATTGCAGCATAATTCACCATTGCAAAGACACAGAATCAACCTAAGTGTCCATCAATCAATGAGTTGATAAATAAAATGTGGTATATGTATACTATGGAGTACTACTCAGCCATAAAATGGAATGGGTTAATATCTTTTGCAGCATCTTGGATAGAACCAAAGACCATCATCCTAAGTGAAATATCTCAGGAAGAGAAAAATAAATACCAAATCTTCTCACTTATAAGTGGGAGATAAATGATGGGTATATATGGTCATAAAATGGTGTAATGGACATAGGAAACTAAAAAAAAAAGGGAGAGTGGGAGGAGTTTGAGGAATATAAAATTACCTATTGTGTACAATGTACATTATTCTAGTGATGGGTACACTAAAAGCCAATTCATTCATGTAACAAACACTTGTACCCACAAAATCTATTGAAATTTAAAAAAATGATAAAATATTGTCACTTGGGTGTGGTGGCTTATGCCTATGATCCCAAAGACTCAGGAGGCTGAGGCAGGAGGGTTGTTTGAGCTCAGGACTTTGAGGCTACAGTGAGCTATGATCATGCCACTACATTCCAGCCTAGGTGACATAGCAAAACTCCATCTCAAAAAAAAAAAACCCAAAACAAAAAAATTGACTCTTAAATTCATTATGAAACCCTGACATTGTTTTAAAAGTAAGTAATTAACTATATCTCTACTCATTTCAGTAGGCAACATTATATTATTGTTCTTTAGAAATGAAATTATCTCCAAAGTGATTTTAGCTTACTATGCAAAGATAAAAACATTATAAATATTTACACAATATTCATGATGTTTATTAACTGGTTCATATATTGTTTTTTGTTTATTTTGTTTTCTTAGTTTTCTGAATTAAGACTTATTTCACTTAGCTTTAATTCAGCAAAAAATGTCTATTATTTAAATAAACTCATTATACATACTAAATGAGTAATTATGCTGCTTATAAATAATATTATCAAGTTGAAGCTTAATAAAAATGCCAAAACATAAATTCAAAAACCTCTGTGGATATCTTACTAATTAATACATGTAGAAAGCAATAGGTTATTTTGATAAATACTTTATATGCTTCTGTAAGAACAATTTAAACAGGTCACCTACCAGAAAAGAGATGAAAACATTTTGTATTGGCACAGCAAAAGGAATGCTAGATTCCATCTTAAGATCAGTGAAGCTATATGAAAATCTCAATTGAATTGTTAGAAAAAAATAATGAGAAATGCTTTTAGGCTCAAACAATAGTTAATAGAAAAGTCAAACAAAAACCAACCCTACAATTTTAATGTAGCAGGAATTGAGAAAGCCTGCTACCAACTGAAAAGCTATTTTGTAGTGACAATAAAAGTGTGAAGGTGATTCTGAGGAATTCAATTGAAATAAATGCACATGAACCAAAATTAACTGGATTGGAGACTAAAACACTGAATAATGCTGGGTTAACAATCAAAAGAGAAATGTTTTTTCTAAATGGTATATTAATTCTGCTTAAGTTTTTAAAAATATTTCTTATTTTATTATGCTAAAAAATCAAATGAGATTTAACCTCTTAAAAATTTAAGTGTACAATGCAGTATTGTTTACTCTAAAAGCAGTGTCATACAGCAGACTCTACAACTTTTTGTCCTGCATGACTGAAACTTTATACCCACTGAACAGCAATTCCCCATTTTCTTCCTTCCTCAGTGCCTGACAACCACCAATGTATTTTCTGCTTCCCTGAGTTTGCCTGCTTTGGACATCATATACAGGTGGAACCATGAAGTATTTGTGCTTCAGTTACTGACTTATTTCACTCTGCATAATGTCCTCAGGTTCACACATATTTGTCGGGAGCTGTCCTGGACATGGGAGACCTAAAGTACTGTTGCTGCCTGGAAAACTGGGGGTCTTTGAGGCATAGCACCTGGAGCCTTGACTCAGAGCTCTGACATTCTTGGCCTTTCTTCCAGCTCACGGAGCGTGCTAGAGATAGCAGTAGCAGTTGTAGAAGGTCACTGAAGTAATCCTGTGCACACAGCCTTCGTAGCTTATAGCCGCGCCCCCCCCCCAAGCCCTGCATATTCCTTTCCCAGGATTGTTAATCACTCTTGGGTGCTCTTTTCCTTGAACTATCTGAGTAATCATAGTTGAATATTTGTAGCTTTATTGATATCAGGAGAAAGTTAAGTTGTAGACTAGAAAACTGCTCAAGCAAGAGAAAAGGCTATCAAAATGACGCATGGTTGAAAAAAACAAGAACTGTTTTGTTTTCTGGTTTAACGAAGACAGGTATCCATTGCATTTCGCTTCTCCTTTGTTCTTATCTGTATAAATCTAGCAACTGAAATAAACTGCGGCACGGCAGTAAACAAGGACTCCGTCCTCCCATCCCCATCTGTCTGTTGTCTCTTCATTTCTCAGCCTCGCCCTCTAACTCCAGGTGCTGCACGTCACTGGCCGGCTCTGGCACATATTGTTACATATGACACGATTTCTTTCTTTGTATGGCTGAGTAATAGTCTATTGTGTGTATGTTTCACATTTTTTTAATCAATTCATTCATCAATGGACATTTAAGTTGTTTCCACATCTTGGCTCTTGTGAATAATACCACAATGACCATAGGGTGCACATATCTCTTTTATATCCTGATTTCAATTATTTTGAATATATACCCAGAAGTGGGATTGCCAGATCATAGGATAGCTCTATTTTTAATTTTTTTAGAAAGCTCTATCCTGTTTTTCACAGCAGCTGTACCATTTTGCATTCCAACAAATCCCTTCCTCACAACAATTGTTATCTTTTATTGTTCTGATAATGGCCATCCTAACAGATGTGAAGTGATATTTTACTTTGGTTTTAATTTGCATTTCCCTGATGACTAGTGATATTGATCATCTTTTCATGTACCTTTTGCCCATTTGTACATGATATATATATATAGATAGATAGATAGATAGATAGATAAATATTAGTATATGCATATCCAAAAAGGTTGTATCAATTGTTCTCTCATCATTATGTTGTTATACTTTACTTATATCTATGCATAAATCTATTAGTGATATATAATTGCATATATGTGTACAGTATATTTATATCAATACATAGTATTTACTATCTTTCTAATAATACTTTATACGGAACATTGTCCACATATTTTCCACCATATTAAATAATAATTGCAATGATGTAACCACAAGTTACATCATTGTATATTATAGATTTTGTATTTACCTAATTTCCAATTGTTGGGTATGTAGACTAAATTATTTGGAACTTGGAATTTCACTTTGATGAAACATACTCATATATATTTCTCATCATTTCATTCACAATGAATGGCATTGGTTGTCCAATTAATATGATAATCTTAAATTAATTTACTATATATTTTAAGAAATGGCTGAAACATTTTCACTTCTTTCTCTAAGGAAAGGAACTGTTGTCTGCATGTTTGAATATATGTAGTATCACCATTAATTTCTTTTAGCAATTAATAGAATATATGAATTATATGGATGTGCTTTATCTTTACATATTAATTTTCTAAATATTTTTCTTTTTCAGAAATAATTACAAATATATTGTTTTCTTTCCAAATACTTTATTGTGCTGTTTCTTATTTTTATTTTTTGTTTATTGAACTTGGTTGAATTTTTTCTCTGGTATATTATTTGCTTTTTTATTTGTTCTATAGTGATTGTTGATAGTTTTCTCAAATATTCATTGAGTCAAATATTTTGGCCATTTCTTTTGTGATCTACTTTTCTTTGTATGCTAAGCTAAATTTTATCTACCCCCAAAAGAATTCAGACCCTCATTTAATTCTTGATGTTTTAGATGATAAAGCAGTGATTATGTAGGAAACTAAGTGTTTTCTTCTGGAACTGTGAGAGAGGATTGGATTCTAGGATCAGTAGAGATTGCCAGTACTTGAAAGAAAAAAAAAATTAAAATTTCTGTAAATCTTAAAAATTATGTGTTCATTTGGCATTGTCCTGCATTTAGCCTTAACATTTAAACTTAAATGATCAAATGTCTACTCTAAAAATAAATTGGCACTTGTTTTTCAAATTTAAAGGTACCATATTTTTTGACATTGCATGTGGTTATATATGGCTGAAGAAACCATGGATTTGTGTATGTTAAGCCATCCTTGCATTCCTGGGATAAGTTTCATGATATATGATTTTTTGATATGCTGTTGGATTTGGTTTGCTAGTATTCTGTTGAGAATTTTTTCATCTATGCTCCTTAAAGATATTGGTCCATTGTTTTCTTCTTTGTTGTATCTTTACTTTGTTTTGGGATTAGGGTTATGCAGGCCACATTGAATGAGCTTGGAAGAATTCCCTCTGCTCCTTTTTGGAATAGTTTGAGAAGAATTGGTATCAGTTCTTATAAGTTCAGTAGAACTCAGCTATGAAGTCATCCATATCTGTACTTTTCTTTGATGTAAGACTTATTATTACTGATTTAATCTTGTTGCTCATTATTGGTCTATTCGGTCTTTCTATTTCTTCTTGATTCTATCATAGCAGGTTGTATGGGGCAAGGATGTTTGAAAATATGCTAATCAATAAATGTGATATATCAAGTCAACAAAATGAAGGACAAAAACTGTATCATCATCTCAATATATACAGAAAAATCATTTGATAAAATTCAATATCACTTCATGATAAAGATTCTTAAAACATTAGGCTAAAATGGAAGTACCTCAACATAGCAAAGACCTTAGATGACAATCTTACAGCTAATATCATGCTGAATGCTGTTTCTCTGAGAACTTTATAAGACAAGAATGCCCACGTTCACCACTCTTATTCAACATGGTACTGGAAGTCCAAGCCAGAGCAATTAGACAAGATAAGTAATAAAAGCCATCAAAATTGGAAAGGAGAAAGTCAAATTGTCCCTGTTTTCAGATGACATGATCCTATATATAGAAAAACCTAAAGACTCTACCAAAAAATTTCTTATTATTTATTTATCAGTTGATAAATAAATTCAGTAAAATTGCAGAACACAAAATCAGCATAGAAAAATCAGTGGCATTTCTGTATACCAATAAGGAACTAACTGAAAACTAAATCAAGAAAGCAATTCAATTTATAAAAACTATAAAAAAACAACCTAGGAATGAATTAACCTCTGTGTGAAGGATCTCTACTGTAAAACACTAATGAAAGAAATCGAGGTGACACACAAAAAATGGAATGACATTTTATGGTCATGGACTGGAAAAATCATCTCATTTGTGTAGACATTCCAATTGTGAGAATACTTTATACATTAACAACTAGCTACATAGGAGTTGGGAAATATTTTCTAGCCATGTCCTAGCAAATAGAAGAAAAGATATATTTTAAGAACCCTTTCCTTATCATGCTGCTAGATGTTAATATTTGTGTTTTTTGTTGTTGTTTGTCTTTCTACCAGTAATGCTATTGTATCTACTCTAAAGATGTGAGAAGAAAAAATATAATAGATGTTCTTTCTAGGTAAATGTAGTATTTATGCCAATGTGCTCTATATAAATAACTTCTCCTTAGTCTTCTTAATGAAATTAACAGATAAATATCAACACAGTTCATGGTGGTAAAGGTAGAAGAGATGCCAAGTAACTATACCACAGTATGAGGAAATATCCTTCTAATGGGATTTTTTTTAGACACAGTAAAATATGGTCATTCACATTATAATAATGTTTGTCATTCATGATCAACACTAATTTTAAATCTTTTCATTTTACTTTCCTTTGCATTTTTTTTTACATTTTAATGCTACAGTAACATATGCTCAATTGCAACATCCAGACAACTTGTTAAGCATATTTGAGAAAATGCCTTTCCTGATCAGCAAATAAATACAATATAGTCATTAGAAAGGATTGTATTAATGCTTAGTAATGTTAGATGATACCACAAACAGCACAGATAAAAGTTTATTTCTCTGGCACATAATGTCCAAAACAGTTTTTCTGATGTGTATATAACTATCCTCCTAGAGATGATGCAGAATTTAGGATTATTTCATCCTGGGATTTTGCCTTCTTCAACACATAGTTTGGAAATTCATAATAGTCATCTATTTAGCTGAGAGAAGGGAACATAGTAAAGTTATTGTCAGAGGATTTCATGGCCAAGTTCTGAAAGTCATACATTTATTTTGTATTTATTTATTATTGACTATGATTCTATTCATATGTGATTGACTATATCAGTGTTATGGTTACCTTTAATTTCAATGAAGTCTTAAATTATATTTTGTGATGTATTACTAAAGAAAATACAGTAGGTTTTGGTGAGCAAAGAGCAATCTCTTTCACTGGATTTTAGAATTCATCTATTCTTACGGTAAAAACTGTATCTTATAAGTGAATAGACTTACATAATTAAATATGAATTTTAGATTAAAAATATCAAAGACAAAATAATAAAATAAAATAATAAATTATAAGAAAGATATATAAATTATCTATGGTAGAATGAGAAACAGCAGATTTCTCATCCAGAACAGTAAATAGGAGATGTCAATGGAAAACTTTATTTAAAGACTGTAAAGTAAACACTTGTCCAACTGGGAATTTAAAGATAGCTAAACAAAAATTTTACAGTAAAAATGAAATAAATTATTTCAGATCTATCTATTAAAAAACAAAAACAAAGATACTTTATGGTCTCAATATTTCCAAAGAAGGAATGACTAAATTTGTATTTCACCAAAAGGAAAGCTACAGGAAAGAAATATGAGCCAATTAATTTAGTAAATATAAGTTATAATTAACTACAGAAGTACTTAAATAAGTAAAATATGTATTTGAGATCATATTACTCTTATTATTCTTCAAGTTAAGGAGAAATTATAATAATGTAATTTAATCCAAACAATATATGAATGAATTTTCCCCTGTCATTTAATTTGGATAAATACTGTCTATAAATTCTCTTCTGTCTTACATATGCAGTTACTTTCTAGTCAATAATAATTGAGAAAGTTGAGATATTATAGAAACATATTCCTTAGTACATTCAATGCACCATATGTTCTATATACATATTTTGAAAAATTTTGAACATGTAGATTGTAAATTCTATATTCAAACATATATGTCAAAATTTGAGTGCAGACACATTTCTACTCTGCCATGATCGTACCAAAGTACTTAAGAGTATTGCAAGTGAACTTCAACTCACATCTCCCATATTGTAGCTATCCCTCAAATAATTTATTCAGCCTTCTAAATATATAATATGTTGAAGAGTTGACAGCTCACATTGAAGCTATGTTAATAATATAAAATTCACAATAACAAAATATGTTTTTTTGACTTAAAGTTAAATCAAATAATTCTCAAAAATGATTTTGCTTAACAGATGATTTACCTATCTAGCAATCATCTTGGATCAAAGAAAAGCTAAAAACAAAAGCCCAGTGACTTGTCTTATATATTCTAAAATAATAGATATTTTATGCCTTTTATTAGCCATCACCAGTTTGGTATTTTTAGGTAATTTTAACAATTTACATTGAGATTATTAAAATATTCAAATTGTTCCAAAGCCTAATATGTGAATAGCTATTAATAAGCCTCATGTCTATATTAAATTATTTTATTTTATATAGTTAATTAAAATTTAACCTGTTTTTACATGACTTATCTCTCTTATTTACAAAAATTTTAACACTAAGAAACAAGCAGGTCAACTTTTCAGTTTACATTCACAGATTTCCACTGATACACAAACAAATGTGGCATTTGCATGTGGAGATTTTACAAAAATAAATTTCCTCTACATAATTATTAATAAATATGTGAAAAACTCTATATTTTAAGTAGAAATTTTAGCTTTTGTTTGAACTAAATGCTTTCAAAGTTAAACATAATTTTATTAAAAATTGTGTTATGATTGCTATTATGCTAGAAACTGGATAAACCAAGATGATTTAGACTTGTTCTTTTACTATATGATTCTTAAAATATACTAGGTCTATAAAATATTTCAAAAGTATAATAAAAAATAAAATATTAAGCTTTGTCAATATACCGGTTTCTGAGTAATTACAGGTGCATATTTTTGCAAATAACATTATGAGGCAATAATGTATTTTTCAGTGTTGATGAAGCTGAATATTAGAGGTTAAATAACCTGCATAATATCACAGAGAACCAGGGCCTTTCATTTGTATACTGGACATCAAATCTTATTTCCTTTAAAAACACTAAACAATCATTATCTTGTGATACATGTACAATGTTCCTTTCAGAACACCGAGTTAGAGTGAAGCAACACCTGTGAAAGGTGTTGAAAGAGATATGAGAATTCAAATTGGCTTTAAAAGATAAATAGGAGTTCACTAAAGGGAATGTTGAGGCAGATCTTCACACAGGGCTAAGCATGAGATACACTCACTAGCCTTAGAGCCACTTGCAAAGGGAAAACAAATGATGAAACAGAGTATATTCATGAGGAAATAAGCAAACCAAAGATGAAAGAGGAAGTGAAGAGTCAAGAAACTGATCCCAGCAAGATGGAACTTTTCAATTAGTTACTAAGAAATAGGAAAGTTAAAATAGATTTAGTTAAAGACAGATGTTAATGGGATACTCTCAGAAGTTAGGTGAAACAATGGGACTTCTTGTTGATCCCAAAAGATTGAAGATTCCTAAAAAAATCACTGTAGTTTGGAAGAATTCAAGAAACCTGATTTGTAATCACCTGGGACAATGATTCTTTTATTTGTTCAAGATAAGAACTGACAATAGGGCCTGGGTCCCTTGGTTCAACTCCTAGCTGGGGTTCCAATGCCATATACATAGGACAGCAAGAAGAAATCAGACTGTGCTTTTAATACATTGCTAAATACCCAAACTCATTGCTTACAAGTCTGTTTTCCACACAACAGTATAACCAAAGTCAGCTAAGTTTTCTGCCATTTTAAAATAAGGATCTCCTTTCTTCCAGATTTCAATATGCTTCTCATTTCCTTTTGAGATTCTACGTCTGATAGAATTTGATATTCTACCAACATTTTATTCCTAATGATGTATGTGTTCTCTATAATGATAGAAGCACTATCAGGCTTCCTAAAACCAATGAGCCCTCACCGATATCATTATCTTTGGCATCCATATTTCTACAAACTGATTTTTCAAGGCAATTTGGGCTCTTTCTGTCAAGTGCCTCAAACTTCATCCAGCCTCTATCTTTTAACCAATTCCAAAGCTGCTTCCCCACTTTTAGATATTTGTTACAGCACTGTCCTAATCTCAATACCAAAATCTAGGTGGCTTAAAACAAAATAAATTTATTCTTTCATAGTACTGGAGTCTGTAAGTCCAAAATGAAGGGGTCAAGTTACGGTCACTCTGAAGGCTTTAAAGAAGAATCTTTTTTTGCTCTCCTAACTTCTGGTGATCACTGGCATTCTTTGACTTGTGGCAATATAGCTCCACCTTCTGCCTCCATCTTCAAATTGTTTTCTATATGTGTCTCTCTGTATATTTTCTTCTTCTTATAAGAACACCAGTCACTGGATGTAGGGGCCCATCCTGAATTCAGGATAATTTTATCTTGAGATCTTTAATTAAGTACATGTACATGTACAAAGAACCTATTTCCAAATAAGGTCACATTCTGAGGTTCTGGGTAGACATTGATTTTCAGGGGGCATTATTTAACCCACTATAAAAATTATAAAAAAAATAGCTTAAAGTAAGCAATCTATGAAATAGCTTGCTTCAAAATAGCACATTACATTTAAAGTAATATAGTTAATTTTCCATCATTTCTTTTCTGTGAATTCTCTTGAATTAATGTGGCTGATCTTACCTATCTTAATTCTAGTCAATATGCAAACTTCTTTTCATTTCCTTTTTTTATGACATTTACTTTCTCACAGCACTAAACATTAGGATCTGACTATTCATGGTGGAAGTGCAGAATCAGTACAGGCAAGGATGATCCCTGCGGTAGCCTACGCATACAAAGCAGGCACTCACTTGCCAAGTGATTAAACTATGCTATGGAACACAACTTGTCCAAATGTATACCCTTATGTTTTTTCATGCTGTTGGTTCTACCAATTGGCCAGAAATAAGCTGCCTAGAATTAATTCTTTGGATTAGAAAACAAAGACATAAATAATTTGTAAAATCCATGTGCTGCCTATGCACTGCTTGTGTTGTACCTTTCTTTTATTATTCTTTATTTTAGTAGTTCAGAACATGTCTCCATTTAATATCCTTAAATGTAGAGTAAAAGGGAAAAACATGGAGCATATTTCCAATGATCACAAAAAAGCCAGCACATATTAGCTTTCTTATTTGCTTTCAGTAAGATGGAACATGGATCAACAAATTAATAGCAATTAAAATGATTGATTGTACGTGGGCATGCCTTTTCATAACTAAAAGAAATGTTAAAATCTGCAATTAGAGTTGGCCTCTAAAAGGATGTAATTGTTCACTAAGGTGATATTTGTAATTGTGTAATTTTCAGCTGCTTTTCTAAGTTTCAATTCTATTGGCATTCATCTTTAATGTGTGATCACAGCCCTAAAACACAAATCAAGATCTTAAGACTACAGATCAATTTAAAAACTCTTTTCCTTACTAATACTGCTGGAGTTTATGCAAAGTTTGGCAAGTTTTCATTTTCTAAATTTTTATATTCATTATTAAAAGAAATCCTATAACAAAGAGTACTGGACATCTTTTCTATAGATATTTCTAAGTCATTATTCTCTTTATAGGGTAATTCAGTTTTGTTAATGTTCCATGAGGCAGTAGAAATAATATAGTAGGCTATTATTTTTTCTTTTATATCAAATGGGTACTAACCTTCAATTTCCATTCTCATCAAGACTCTCTTTATTGTCTCTTTTAAGCAGGTTTCCAAAATGTCGCTAAAAGCCATGTACTTCATAGCTATCTAAAGCCATAGCTATAATCTTCCTTTGTCTCATTTATTTCAGACACATTGCTCTAGTTTATGAATTTATTATGAATAATACAAATGGCACAGGGCTAATCATCGAAAAAATATTCAGGAAAAATAAAAATTATATTCTGATTATCATACATAGCGCAATG